TTAGAAGGAATCAAAATTTGAGAGTGGCTATAAAAGTATTGTTTCAACTTTTGGCACTTTCATTTCATAGGTTTATCATATTAATTAATTCTTTGGGGAAGAGATTTGTGCTTCTTTGAAAAACAGTGATGTGTGACTTATCAGAGAGCTGTGTTTACTACCACCTGTGGTTGTGTGAAGCGGCAGGGTGACCTGCACAACAAAAAGCCCACCCAGGACTCAGTAGACCTCAGTTAGGGTGGTGGCAACAACCTAACATCTACCCATTCACAATCATGTTCTGCTCCTTGTGGAGACAGTAAGATCTTACTGAGGTTCCTGAGAACTATGCACTTTGCAAACTGGAGCAGAATGGGCTCAGCTGGAGCACAACTGAGCACTTTAATTGTACATTTAAATGTTTACAAAGATTAGCAACACTATGACCAAAAGAGAAAAGTGGGGAAAATATGACTGCAGCTGTTCAATTGAACAAGAGACTCTGAACCCAGCTCACAGGTAAGAACGTTCACCTTTAGTAAAAGAACAGATAGGGGACATTAGTGGGGTTTCATCATCTCTAGAGCCCCTTTGTACCCCAACACATGCAGACTCTGAGATGGAGAGCCAGCTACAGTCAAATATACCCGAGACTCTCGTTTAGCCATTCCCCTCCAAAGACAAGAGTATGTGCCTTATTTCTAAATTAGCAGCAACCCCATTTTTCACCTCTGGTTTATCTCAGTGACAGTTTTAACCTGGATATATACGTGTGTCTTTTTTGTATAGTAACACTGTGAAATGGCCAAATTAGGAATAGGTGAATTATAATTTGAGAGTATGATGTGATGAAAAATGTAGTCATGTTCAAAGTTTAACTTTCATATATATATTTAATGCATAAGTATATAGTGTTTTATTGTCAGTGCAAGTACATCTTTTTTGTGATCTCCTTTTGAAAGATGTATTATGATCATTGTCAAGGTAATTTGAAAGTCCCCAGATGAATCAATAAATGTAACTTTATAATATTTTGCAGAGGAAATTACTTTCTTTAAAAAAAGAAAAGAGTTTAGTTTTCTTTTTTTAATACACAATTTCTAGCAATGTTTCGTTCTCTAGCAGTTTGATAGTGTGAATTTTGGTAGGCTATTCTATTAACACTTATATTACTTTAAACAAGTCTGCATTGGTTTATCCAAGGACTTAGTAATCCTTTCTGTTTAATACCACCCTGATGAAATCCATGTTAAGGTAAAAGTCAACTCTTCAGGGATCTCTATTGACTTATTCATTAGTTGATTCAATACGTCTTAATTGACACATACCATGTGCCAGGCAGTTGGTTAGGTGCTGAAGAAAAGAATACATAAAACTCACTGCTGGCCCATGAGTTGCTCATTGTCCAGTAGGGGGAGACATGCACATAAACTGTTACAGTAGAGGATAGAAATCCCAGTTGTTAATGTGCACAGTTCTGTTAGAAGAGGAGGCCTGGACTAGCGGTGATCTGTGGGGCTGTCAGAACTTCACAGTGAGAAGATACTTAAGTCCAGTATTGAAAATGAGTAGGAATTTTGATTCCAATTGAAAGCTGGACAAAGGGCACAAAGAGATAGTTTACATAAAAGGAAATATATATATATATACGTAGAAAAATTTCCTGCCTGATCAGAGAAATGAAGAATTAAAATCAAATTATCAAGGACCAAACAAAAAAATTATGACTCCCAGTAACAGAGAGGCTGTTATTAAGTAAGAGGAACGTTCATGTTCCCCTGGTGAGTTTGTAAATTTGTCCACATTTTCTTAATAGCAACTTGACTGCATATCAAAAGCCCAAAAGTGTTCTTTTCTACTGTTCCAGTAATTCCACTTTAGAATTCTCTCCCAAAAAATAACCAGAGGGACTATCCTCATTATGTGCAAAACTCTTCTTTATAGTATTATGCATAATAATAGCAAAGAAAAAAATGAAAAGGAAACCATCTAAATGACCAAAACAAGGGTTAAACAAATGCTTCAGATATATATGTACACACACAAACATTATGGAAATTAGGCAACCATTAAAAAAAGATTTTTTCAAATCATTTATAAAAACTGAGAAGAAAGTTTACAGTGTAATATTAGGCAAAACAAAAAAACAAAAAAACCCAAAAAACATGATACCAATAATTTTAAGGTATGATTCACAAATATACAGGCATAGAAAATATGAAAAAATAAATCAAAGTGTGAACCAGCTACCTTTTTTAATGGAAATGCTTTCATAATTCTTTGTATTTTCCAAAATGTTTTAAAATAAGTTCAGGTTTCTTTTACATGAAATTATATGTTTTTAAAATGAATAAAAATGGACTGAACAAACAAAAGGGAAAGGCATGAATGAAAAGCTTTCTAGTCTAAAGGAATATGTACAAAGCCAGAGGAATAAAGAAGTGTGGCATGCCCAGGCTTAGTTCCTAGTTCTATCAGGCAGAATTTGGGGAATTATGAGCAAAGGTAGAAAAGAAGTTGAAAAGAGAGGCAGGTTTCACATCATAAAAGGTGTCGGGTGCAGTGTTTGGAGCTCTGTGAAGCCTGGATACTCACTGACGACTTCGAAGCCAGGATGCCATCAGAATGGAGTTTGAGGGAGATCATGCTGGTAGCACGGACTGTGGATGGGGCAGATGGGGCCGTCAGGTGAGGTGAGAGTGGATGTGCTGGGGATCTGCGCAGTCGTGCAATCAGTGCACTAGACTAAGGTGCTAGATAAAGAAGTGAGTAGGATTGAAATACAGCCCCAGCCCTGCTTTCCTGACTGTGGGCTTCATCGGCTCAAAGGCAAGGGCTCCTTTTTGTGATTTTTCTAGTCGTAGGGGAACAAAGACATCATATATGCAAGTGT